CCACGGCTGTCCCCGTCCCCCGGGGCAGCCCCGGGCCCTTTGCCCGGGGCTCGATGCACCCTTGCCCGCCGGACCCTGACCCCGAGGGGGGGACGGATCCAGCCCCCTCAGGGCAGCCAGCGGCGGCAGCCCCCCCACCGCAGTGCCCCACGCCCCTCAGTGCTCCTCCATGGCACCGCAGGCGTCACCGTGTCCCCACACCGTTGGGGACGGGTCCCCTGAGGGATTTCACTGCCACAGTGCGGGGGCACCGTGCTGGGTGCAGGGGTGGGGACAGGGAGAGGGGTGGCACAGGGACAGGATGGTGACAGTGACACAGGGACAGGGATGGGGACAGGGATTGAGATTTGGGGACTGGGATGGCCATGGTGACATGGGGACGGGGTGGGGATGGGGACAGGGGTGGGGACAGGGGTGGGAACAGGGGTGCAGGGACACAGAGATGGGGGAAGGGGATGAGGAAGGCGACCATTGTCTTAGGCTGCACTGGGAGAACTGGAAGCAGGTGTCCCAGACATTATTAGGAGCACTGGGAGCTCTGGCCCTGGAGCAGTGGGAGCACTGGTCCCAGCCCCGGCATACTGGTCACGCGGGTGGCAGTCCCAGGAGCACAGGTGGCACTGGTGGCACTGGTGTTAGTCCTGGGAGCCCTGGGAGCACTGGTGGCACTGGCTGCACTGGTGGCAGTCCCAGGAGCCCTGGGAGCACTGGTGGCAGTCCCAGGAGCCCTGGGAGCACTGGTGTCACTGGTGTCACTGCTTGCACTGTGCTTGCACTGGTGGCACTGGGCGCACTGGTGTCACCGCTTGCCCTGGCGGCCCCGCTCACACTGGTGGCACTGGGCGCACTGGCGTCACTGCTCGCACTGGCGTCACTGCTCGCACTGGCGGCCCCGCTCGCGCTGGGAGCACTGGGCGCACTGGCGGCACTGCTCGCACCAGTGACACTGCTCGCACCGGTGTCACTGCTCGCACTGGTGGCACTGGGCGCACTGGTGTCACCGCTTGCCCTGGCGGCCCCGCTCACACTGGTGGCACTGGGCGCACTGGCGTCACTGCTCGCACTGGCGTCACTGCTCGCACTGGCGGCCCCGCTCGCGCTGGCAGCACTGGGTGCACTGGCGGCACTGCTCGCACCAGTGACACTGCTCGCACCGGTGTCACTGCTCGCACTGGTGGCACTGGGCGCACTGGTGTCACCGCTTGCCCTGGCGGCCCCGCTCACACTGGTGGCACTGGGCGCACTGGCGTCACTGCTCGCACTGGCGTCACTGCTCGCACTGGCGGCCCCGCTCGCGCTGGCAGCACTGGGTGCACTGGCGGCACTGCTCGCACCAGTGACACTGCTCGCACCGGTGTCACTGCTCGCACTGGTGGCACTGGGCGCACTGGTGTCACCGCTTGCCCTGGCGGCCCCGCTCACACTGGTGGCACTGGGCGCACTGGCGTCACTGCTCGCACTGGCGTCACTGCTCGCACTGGCGGCCCCGCTCGCGCTGGCAGCACTGGGTGCACTGGCGGCACTGCTCGCACCAGTGACACTGCTCGCACCGGTGTCACTGCTCGCACTGGTGGCACTGGGCGCACTGGTGTCACCGCTTGCCCTGGCGGCCCCGCTCACACTGGTGGCACTGGGCGCACTGGCGTCACTGCTCGCACTGGCGTCACTGCTCGCACTGGCGGCCCCGCTCGCGCTGGCAGCACTGGGTGCACTGGCGGCACTGCTCGCACCAGTGACACTGCTCGCACCGGTGTCACTGCTCGCACTGGTGGCACTGGGCGCACTGGTGTCACCGCTTGCCCTGGCGGCCCCGCTCACACTGGTGGCACTGGGCGCACTGGCGTCACTGCTCGCACTGGCGTCACTGCTCGCACTGGCGGCCCCGCTCGCGCTGGCAGCACTGGGTGCACTGGCGGCACTGCTCGCACCAGTGACACTGCTCGCACCGGTGTCACTGCTCGCACTGGTGGCACTGGGCGCACTGGTGTCACCGCTTGCCCTGGCGGCCCCGCTCACACTGGTGGCACTGGGCGCACTGGCGTCACTGCTCGCACTGGCGTCACTGCTCGCACTGGCGGCCCCGCTCGCGCTGGCAGCACTGGGTGCACTGGCGGCACTGCTCGCACCAGTGACACTGCTCGCACCGGTGTCACTGCTCGCACTGGTGGCACTGGGCGCACTGGTGTCACCGCTTGCCCTGGCGGCCCCGCTCACACTGGTGGCACTGGGCGCACTGGCGTCACTGCTCGCACTGGCGTCACTGCTCGCACTGGCGGCCCCGCGAGTGTGATGGTGTGGGGGGGGTGTGTGTGTGAGTGTGGGGTGTGGGAGTGATGGTGTGGGGGGTGTGATTGTGAGTGTGGGGTGTGGGAGCGGGTGTGGGATGGGGTGGGGGTGAGCATGAGGTGTGAGAGTGTGGGTGTGAGTGTGGGGTGTGGGAGCCTGGTTGAGCGTGCGTGTGCGAGCGGGTGTGAGCGTGGGGTGTGAGGGTGTGAGTGTGATGGTGTGGGAGCGTGGGGGTGTGGGTGTGAGCCTGGGGGTGTGTTGAGTGTGGGTGTATGAGTGTGGGCGAGTGTGGGTGTGTGAGTGTGGGGTGTGGGAGCGGGTGTGAGCACGGGGGTGTGGGGGTGTGAGTCTGAGCGCAGGGGTGTGTGGGTGTGCGAGTGTGAGTGTGGGATTGTGAGCATGGGGGTGTGAGTGACTGGGTGAGTGTGAGTGCGGGGGTGTGGGAGTGTGCGTGTTTGAATGCCAGCATGGGGGTGTGGGTGTGAGTGAGTGTGGGTGTGAGTGTGATGGTGTGGGGCTGAGCATGGGGTGTGGGAGTGAGCAAATGTGATGGCGTGGGAGTGGGTGTGAGTGTGAGCCTGGGGGTGTGGGGGTGATGGTGTGCGTCTGATGGTGCGGGAGGGGGTGCGAGCGTGGGGGCGTGAGTGTGATGGTGTGGGTGTGAACGTGGGGTGTGAGGGCGTGGGTGTGAGTGTGATGGTGTGAGGGGGTGGGTGTGAGCCTGGCGGGGTGTGAGTGCAGGTGCGAGTGTGAGCATGGGGTGTGGGAGTGGGTGTGAGTGCGATTGTGATGGTGCGTGAATGCAGGTGTGAGTGTGAGGGTGGGGCTGAGAGAGCCTGTGTGAGTGAGCGAGGGTGAGTGGGGGGGTGTGGGGGTGAGGATGAGTGTGATGGGGTGTGAGGGTGGGTGTGTGAGTGCGTGTGTGTGATGGGGTGATTGTGTCTGAGCGTGTGGGGTTGTGAGGGTGAGTGTGAGGGTGAGTGCGGGGGTGTGTAAGTACAGGTGAGTGTGGGTGTGAGCACGGGTGTGCGTGAGGGTGGATGAGGGTGTGAGTGTGATGGGGTGTGAGTACAGGTGAGTGCGGGTGTGTGTGAGTGGGTGTGTGAGTGCGGGTGTGCATGAGGATGGATGAGGGTGTGAGTGTGATGGGGGTGTGAGTACAGGCGAGCGTGGATGTGTGAGTGCGGGGGGTGTGAGGGTGAACATGACGGTGTGTGAGTGTGTGTGTGGGGTGAGGGTGTGCCAGGGTGGGTGAGTGCGGGTGTGAGGGTGGGTGTGAGTGTGATGGTGTGTGAGTGCTTCTGTGCGGGGGTGAGTGTGGGAGGGGTGTGAGGGTGAGCGTGGGTGGATGTGAGCGTGGGGGGTGTGTGAGGGTGAACTAGGGGGTGTGAGGGTGAACATGGGCGTGAGGGTGAAAATGGGGGTGTGAAGGTGTGTGAGGGGTATATAAGGGTGAACATGGGGGGGTGTGGGTGCGTGAGGGGTGTGAGGGTGAACCTAGGGGTGTGAGGTATGTGTGGGGTGTGTGTGAGGGTGAACACGGGGGAGGGGGGGGGGGGGGGTGTTTATCTTGTAACACAAAATAAGATTTCTTTTTTTTTTGTTGGGGGGGGGGGGTGGGGGGGGGGTCCAGGGGGGGGGGTGTGAGGGTGAATGTGGGGGTGTGTGTGTGTGAGGGTGAACACGGGGGAGGGTGTGGGTGTGTGAGGGTGAACATGGAGGTGTGTGAGGGTGAACGTGGGGGTGTGTGGGAGTGTGAGGGGTGTGAAGGTGAACACGGGAGTGTGTGGGTGCGTGTGGGGTGTGTGTGAGGGTGAACGTGGGGGTGTGTGAGGGTGAACGTGGAGGTGTCTGGGTGTGTGAGGGTGCGTGTGGGGGGTGTGTGAGGGTGATTGTGGGGGTGTGTGAGGGTGATCATGGGGGTGCGTGGGGTGGGAGGGTGAACGCCAAGCCTTGGGGTCCCGCACGGTCGGGGGGCTGTGGGGCAGGAGACGGTGTGGGCGGAGGTGCCCGGCACCGTGGGGCGGCCCCTGTCCTGCGCGGGTGACGCGGTGACCCGCCGGTGGGTGTTGGTGCTGGGGTACCGCGGGGGGCTGCGAGGAGGGAAGGGCATCTGGCGCTGCTGCCTGCGCTGCCTGTGCCTGCCGGGCTCCACGTGTGTCTTTGGGCAATGCCGTCGGCCTGCCAAGCGGCCGGTGTCAGCCGAGGCCGTGCCACGCGTGGGCACGGCAGGAGCGGGGCTGGGGCAGGTGAGCGCGGTACGGCCGGCAATCTTTTACCAGATTCTCCTGTTGTACTTTAAAAATTCTCTTCCACTCACCGACGGGGAGGCAGGGGCGGGTGCGACCCCCGCTTTTGGGGACCGCGCGGGCCCTTCCCGGCGCAGTCGGTCGTTAACCGCGTAGGCAAAACCAACGCAAAGCCCGTTTCTGTCCCAACTCTCGGAGTTTTTTCCTGTATCAATGAATCAGTCTTTCCCGAGCCGCGCGCGGGAGCCCCTA